GCAAATGTTTTCAGATATGCAACACTGTTTAGATATGCATATAAGCAATATGTTTTATAAGTAGATTAGCTATTTACGTGATTTGATCCTAGCCATTTTCGTGTTGGCGTAATGTCGTAAGGTTGAGAAAAAACTGTTGGTGTTTAATGCGGTTGATGGTACGCTTCCATTAAATGTAAAACGAGAGAACTCGATGACAGAGTCTCTTTTAAAAGTTCAGTTTGCAAGTCGTGTTCCATCTAAAAAAAACAAATTTATATTTCAACAATAAGATTAAATCTTACGCAACGTTTTGTCAACGATCCTTCTGGCGGTCTTTTCTCGGTCTCCTTGTCGACGTTATCCCGTAAAAAACCTGAACCAAATTCAACATCTGCGTAGTATTCCTTTTCGTGTGGATCATTTTTGGTTGATACTGGAGTACGTAATCGTATAATCCAATGAATACGGCTGAGACGTTCTTAACGCTGAAACAATTCAAATGATATACTTTAAAGATAGAGAGTAGTAATTTTCCAAATTCAAATTCAAAGTTAACATTGTTAACAACTTTACTATTGGGATTACGTTGAAAAACGCAAACGTAGCTAGAAGCACTAACTCGTGAAATTTAGCTGAAAACTGTTAAAAGCCCCACCATCACTTCAACATCCTCGATCAGGGACGTCGATTCGCTCAGGTTCTCCCCATTATCGCAACCGATTCATGGCTTGCTTTTGATCCTTTCGACTCACACTTTCCACAGCAACTCGTCGAGCATATCATTTCTTTCCTAAAGAGAAGAATTAAAGATGTAGATTGAAAAGCTTAAAAGTGCGATAAGACTCACCTTTGCAGCTGGACAAATGGGTGGTGAAAGAATAGAGATTCTCACCACTAGAATCACCGTCACAACCGACTTTGGCAATGCGGGAATGTGGCGAAAACGGAGTGAGACAAATTCGAAATCGTAGATGGAAATGCAGCATCCTAGCATCAATGCAACATTCAGTGCACAGCATTTAAAACGAGGCATTTAAAAGAACTTTTCTCAAAAGTTTACAAAACCAAAGTAACATGAATCGGATATTATGTAGATTAAATCCCTGACCGACTTGATTCGTGTAGCGGAAACACTAAAGTTTCCACAATAAAATAATCAAAAAAGATATCACCATGTGTCTTTAACACAACAAATCATCGTTCAAAAAAAGAAATTGTACAACTTTATTTCTTAGAGAACTAAAAAACTACACATCAAAAGCTGCCTTCGAATTCTTGCTTGGGATCCCCTTTTCAACGATCGATTGCACGATCTTTTCAAGGTGATCCACGTTGATTGCCATTCTTAAGATTTTGGTTGAAGTCCTGGCAAAAGCATCGTAGTAGAACTGAAACGGAGCGGCAGAACGATAATAATCCCAAAAGACGACTTGTTCGCAGTCATTCAGCTGATTTGAAATGAAATTCTCAAAAAGCTCGATGATCACTTGATTTTTCTTTCAACAAATCAATGTACAGGTAAATCCGGGCGAATTCTTCAATCCTCGAGCGGAAATTGTCAAAAAATTTCAGCACACACTCCGTTCTGTGCAATACGAGCGTCAGATTTCTCACAGAGTTCAATTGATTCAGAATCGTCGCGTGTTCGTTGTTGAGTTGTCTGTGGTACCCCCTTGTTCCAAAGCGTATACCCAATCTGTCCGTATCATCACTTATTCCCAGGCGTATCCACAATTTGTCACACGAATGGATTCGTTTGCTTAGCGGAAGATGCCTCGCATAAATTTGGTCAAAGACAAAGTTCTCCAACTTCCGGATGCGAATCTTCCCGTCCTGCCATTCATTCATTTGAATCTCCTTCACGTGGTGGTTGAAAACGAGAGACGGATTGTGTGAAAGCATCCATTGATGTTACGCATTCACTTTGACCAACGCAATCGTAGCTTTCGCGTCCATTCCCTCCAGCACTTCCAACTTCAGATCGTAACAGAGCTTCTCCATCGGAAACGACGTCAGATTCCTCATTTCAAATGGCATCTTGAGCGCCATTCTTTCACCTGTAAAAGAAAACAATTGGTTCTTGTCGGAAAATGAAAGAGAAAACACAAAAAGCAATCAATTTTTGGTGAGGAAATGGTTTTCCAATGTTCTTGGGTTCAAACATCAAATTTGGCTTTTCATAATCTTTTCAAGCCAACCACTTTCCTAATTACATAAAAAACAGAGTAATTAGGGAGAAGGGGAACCATAAGCAAAACTTCCGAAACAAAGCTTAAAAATCCACAAAATCGGTCATAAATCAAAAATAATATGGTCCTTGAACCAAATCACTGCTCGAAAACACCTGAAGTAGTAACTTTATTATTAGAAAATTAACCAGCAAACATTAAAAATGTAACTAAATACCGTAAAACACTCGTAATCTCGTATCACTCGTAAAACACTCGAAAAAACGGAACTCGTTGGTATTGGCAGGAGGCTTGAATTTGTTAAACTTTTGAGAAATATTTCTTTTAATTCTTCTTTTAAGTTCTTTTTGCTTCGTTTACTGTTCTTACTACCCCAGTGACAGCATCGCAGAAGGATCCAAAACTTCAATGAGAATTTTTTGTGTGCTTGAGAATTCTTTGATGACTTGTTGTGGAAGCGGATCTTCCGTGAGGTGTGCCTGTGCCTGTTTACTGTGTTTTTGTGTAACTTGTATCGAATCAAAACCTGCGGCGAAGGCGGTTTTTCTTGTTTCTAACGGCGAAGACGGTTTTTCTTGTTCCTTTGTCGGGTTCCACGTCGAGGTTCACAGGATGCCGAGTGAATGGCAAGTACTCATTCCCAATATAGCCGTTTGATCAGGTAAGCTTTAACTAAAATAACTTGAACTTTTTAAATTTAGATCCCCGTGCCTGAAGGGAGGTCCAATGGAATGGACTGCCTCGAGCGTTCGACACAGACGCCCTTGTTTGCCCGAAGATGCACCCTTTTGGCCGAGATGAAGGTAAATATTAAAGGTAAGGGTTAATGTTTTTGGTTCGTATACCCCTACTATTCTATTTAGTACACTACAAGGCGATCTTCCGATCCTGTTCACTCGCCCCGTTCAATATGCAAAAGGATTTGTATGTTGAAGTCGGAATGCTGCTTTTCCCATCTACGATTTCCAATTTGGGTGGGTCTTATCGCACTTTTAAACTTTTCAATCTACATCTTTAATTCTTTTCTTTAGAAAAGAAATGATATGCTCGACGAGTTGCTGTGGAAAGTGTGCGTCGAACGGATCACATTTAATGTTCATAGAAGGAGAAACAAAAAGAATAATCATGAAAACGATCAATGGGGCATTACTTTTGTGGACCACTGTATTTCCTTGCAAAGCAGGTGAATGAATGCAAAGAAGTCACGTTTCGTTGCCATTCCGGAGCTGAGTTTCACTTCTACGCTGATTCTTTTGCCAAGACTTCGATAAAATACTTGAGAGTGTTTAACGAATCACGTTTCTCGGGTCACTTTGAAGAAATCGTGCAATCAATCGTTAACAAGCAGATCCCCAGCAAGAATTTGAAGGTGATTGTTGATGTGGGTTACGACTATTCTCAGGAGATGAAGGCCCGAATCGTCGATTTTCGTTCCCAGTTCCCTGGAATGAAGCGATTTAACCGAGAAAATAATCAAGAGGTCATCGAGAGGGCGATCGAACTCTTGGATCGTTTTACTCGTTTTATCTCTCGATACTCGTTTTATCTCCCGAATGCTTTAATTTTTCGACGAAACATTGACTCGAGCAGGGATTGTGTCTACATGCTTTCATCTTTCGACATATAAACAAGGTTTTTCGTCTTCTACATTCAACCGCAATCGGAAATGATGGAGTTTTCGGAAGTTTTGTCGTGTTTGGTTCGGTTTTAGTGCTTTTATCGTGACACTCTTTCATGCTCATGTATTTCATCAGATCCATCCATTTTCGATATCTCCTGTGCAACCTGGGCAGAAGTCGATCGTTTTCAATTTGTTTACATTTTCCATTGCTCCTACTTTTTTGTGTAACGTGTTGTTTGTACTTTCTTTAGGCCGATTGTGTTGAAAATTTCGATGAGAGATTCGAGGATGAGGAACTCTAATTCGTACCTGAGACTCTTTTGCTAACATTTTTGCACAAAAATTTAAAAAATCTTGTTTTTCTCAAGTGCGCTACTTAATCTGAAACGGTCTGAATAGCCTAATTAATAAAAAAAATATTTTTGAAAAGTACAGTAATCCAAAAAGAGTCTTTTTTTAGGGCTTTTCATTGTCCTCTTTCTTTTTGTAATTGACATCAACATTGGTTTCTTTGACATTTTTCGAGATACGACGATTTTGGGGGGTGCGCTACTTAATGTGAAACACACTGTATATGTATCATTACTATGTGTATGTATCATTACCATGTGTAAACCTTTGTATAATTTCCATGGATAGTTGTCTGTACAGCTATAAATTGCATAAATGTCCTCGAATATTTGCTTTCAAGATCATAGGTAATATTTACACAAAACATACTAACATTCTTGTTTTCTTTTCTGACTCGAAGGCAAAAAGATAAGCGAGTGGTCACAGGGAGATCGATTAGTTAACGAGATGACAGATTCGGTGATATGAAAACAAATGAAAAACCTCGATCGATGAATAAGTCGAAAACCCGAACAAGAAACAGCTAATGTCTTTTGTCAGCCAAGCATCGCTCAGCTCAGCCGAAAATCTTGGAAATGACCTATTAGATACATAACAAAATATGTTTTGCAACAGTACTTTGAAGTTTAATCCCGAAACATTTTTTCTTACGACCGGTTAAGTGAAGTGAATTGATTTTAGTTCATCCCCCACTGCTTTTCAAGGGAGTTTTTTTGGCTTTTTGGCTTGTAAGTCGCCTGAGGAGCTGGTCATCCAGCGCCTGAGGACCTGGCTTTCCAGCGCGTGAATTCTGAGCGTTTCAGATTTATCCAAGAAACGGGAAGATAAATTGGGGAAAACGTTGCTTTCTAAAGTCATTTAATCTCTTTGTATTTCCAGAACTCATCAATTGCGATGTTCATTTGTCGACAAAACTCTCGTTGATGTTCATCCTTCCAATCCATATCACTTTCTAAAAATATACTTCGATAAGAAAGTTCGCAATTGCAACTTTGACTTTCATCATTTTTAACTACATAACTTCTTGCCTTTTAAAAAATTAGAAACTTTTAATTTTTGAACTGGTAGGTTATGGAGAAATACTAGGCTATAGAGAAAGACTATGGCTTTCTGATAGGGAAAACCGCAAGTCGATTGGTTGGATATTCATTTCTAAATGAAACTTGGAAACAAAGCCTCGAGACTTATGTAACAACCTAATATTAGACTATTTACGGTAGCATAAAACTACATTTGTATTTATTGGGTTGTATTTGTATTTAATCCACAAGTCGTACTTATGGAGCAGGGCTATTTGGCTCATATGGATCAGGGCCATCTGGCTCATTTTTGGCTCATTTGCATCAAGGAAATCATCCCCATCCCAATCCACATTTACCCAAAACTCACCACCTTTAGCAAAAACTAAATGAAACCGAATTTACTGCGTTCTCAAGAGTCATAAAAACCATCTCGTGTGTTCTCTAGAGTCACTAAAGTCACAAAAATCACTAAAAGACGACTCACCCATTTCGGATCCTTGAAGAAAGTTGATAATGATCTTGAGGATATTCTCGAGCTCATATAAACTAATATAAATCAATCCACGGTATTCCCATAAGCACACAGCATTGAGTCGTTCAAATGAGAATCTTCTACCCAAAAACGACGTTCTATTGCTGAGATCGAGTCCCAACACGAGTCCACTTTTCATCGGATGATCGTTCATCTTTGACTTGTCCAATTTGTTTTGCTTCAACACATTGCTTGGCCATGGTTTCTCTTCTAGGTAAATGAAGTAAAAGCCGAATGATGGGTCTTGCTTTGTTTCGATTTCACGCAAAAGTTTTTCTGTTAAAAATAAGTTCGTACAATGACAAAGTATCAGATTCTCCCAGTCATCGATCAAACAAAAAGCCCTTTCAAATAGGGAATGAGTCTCAAGAAACTCTCGTTGTCTCAGCGTCTCGCATGCAGAATATTTCATTCGTAATTCTTCTGTTGGACCAGCTATAAAATATTCAGTTGCACAAGGAGATGGACAAGGACACAAAGGGAAAATTATTTTTTCCGGTATTGCATCAACGAAGTAAACCATCTCAGGGAAGCGACTTCTGGAAGAAACGGCTATAAATTGCTGCTGCAGCTCTTGATCATTTTTGGGAAGATTTCTTAAACCGTTCATCAAGGGATTTAGGAAGCTGCCGGCCATGGCATCGGTGAGAATATCGAGAAACTCTTTCAGTGGCTCCGCACATAGCTTTTTCCTTTCTTTTCCTCTCGAATAAGAAATAATAAGATTTTTCTCCTCGCTAAGCCTCCTACGAATCATTTCAAGATCAATGGGTGTTGTACATATACGACGTTGCGGGGTATGGGCTCCAATAGGAGAAATTTTTCTCTGTACTCGTACTCGGATTTCACTAAGATCTTTTCTGAAAAGCAGCCCGAACTCTTGGCACCATTCATGTTTCGAATCATCTAGATACCACAAAAAGAAGCCTTCTCGTCGCGAGAAGACATTTTGCATCTCTTGGGTGTTATGAATCGACAAGTCCAACAACTCGATCAGCTCCTTTGACGTGATCGTGCTCGAGGCACAGTTCCATAAAGCAAAAATGGAAAATTGCTGGCAGAATCGCTGCAGAATGAAATCGAAGGAAACGAGCTTTGTGAATCCATTTAGCCAAGCCAGCATCGATTTCGTTATAGCGGTTGACTCTATGGATAAATATCTGTAATGATCTTCCCGAAGCCGGCTGATATTGTTATAAAAACTTCGATACGCGAAACTTTTCAATATACTTTTTATTTCACTTATCAGAATTTGTTGCTCGAATTGATTGAAATCGGAAAGACAAGCAGTTTTCAAGAGTTCACTGGCCAACGCAGCTCTATACTCATTCACATTGCACAATTGCATGTCGCAGATTTCCAAACGAATCGGTACTTTGGCTTTTGGACTTGTCAAGTTTCGCTTTCTCAGTGGCCAAGAAACAGAAATGTTGCGTAGATTAGTCGTTCTTTTGATTTTTGGCAGAACATTGTTGAGAAGAAAAGTGGGAACGATCAACGGGATTTCTTTGGGTTTCTCTTCGGTGTTCTCCTTGTGATCACTTCCAAAAGTGGCATCTGGTGGATTGATGGTCGATAAACTTTGCTCTTCCAAACTTTCAAGCCCAATCGGTTTCGTCAAACACGTTTGGTTCGGTTGTATTTCGGGTAGAAATTCGTATTTGGCGAAGTACTAAAAACAGATAAAGTACATCATTTTTTACTAGTCTGAGAAGAGATTGACTGAAAAGATTGACTCGTGAAAAGTTTCCTAGCGTAAAAAGTTTCCTAGCTTCGAACTCTAGTGAATAACTTTTTGAAGCAAACCTTTTCCAAGGAAATCGCTACTTTCAAAGCATTTTCAGCATCAATTCGTCTCTCGAGCGCAATTTGCGAAGAAGAACACCTAAGTAACTAAGCTATTAACTAAGTAACTAAGCTATTATAAATTGCTTCACTCACCTAATAATCAAATTATTAAGTTTTTCAATTTTCAAGCAATCCGTGGCCGCAGAGAAACGAATAGACTCTTCTTTTTTGAAGAGTTTTCTTTCGATAATCTCCCAAAGTACTAGTCCAGCTCCATAGACGTCTGCTTTAAAAAGATTCTGAAAATGAAATAACAGATGAATTCTTAGTTTAGCTTAGCTTTCGGAAAAGATTCTAAGGAATAAATCCCTAGAATTCTAAGGAATAAACCCTTTCGCCCACCTCTCCATTCAATTCGATCCCTTCTCTAACTTCAGGCATCATGTAAAGCCAAGTGCCAACAGAGCCATGAACTGTCGTTTTTGTTGATTCAACTCGTTTTATTACACCAAAGTCACCGACTTTCAGCACAAAGTGTTTAGCGACAAAGATGCTGAATCTCTTTTTTTTCTGTCATCGATAAAAGTAGAAGAAAGGAATTGAAAAGAAAAGAAAAAGCAATTGATATTTTTCTGGATATTTTTCTGGCTTTGTGCCAATATTCATAGCATTTATACCAGAAAATTCGGAAACTTTGTGTCGGGATTCAGCTGGGCTTTAGCCCTTCAATTTTTCTCAGAAAATACCAGAAACTTACTTTTCTGGTTTGATATCTCGATGAGCAATTCGCATCTTTTTGAGATAGACCAAAGACGTGAAAAGTTCCTGTGCCCATTTGACAATCGTGGCCACCGAATAAACGATGCGGGAATCGTCAATCACTATCAATCAAACAAAACATTTGAATTCAATCTTTTTATTCTTGACACGGGCTGAGTATCTGGACTTGCTCCTTTTGAGTCAAACTTTCATCTTTTCTATTGATTGTTTTAGAACTTAGAACTGTTTTAGAACCAAAATTCAGGGGGTGACTATCAGCTCACCGTTTCTCATCGACCCCTCTTCGCAATATTCCATGAAGATCGGATATTTCTCTCCAGTGTACTCAAAATCCTTGGGTTGATCGAGATATTTGACCACATTCTCGTGCACCAACTCCCGCAACACATCCAGCTCTTTTGTCTGATCGTCGGGATTTTTACAAATATCGATTTCTTTCATCACAATTGCTCTGAAATTCGCGAGCTGTCACGAAAATACCGAAACTCTTTAAAATCTTTCTTTTTTAAAATTCTTTTTTGAGAACATTTATTGATTGATTGATTGAAATTGATTATTGATTGAAATCCTTTTCAAAACCATCATAGGCTTGTCAAAAACACAAAAAAGAGCCGGCAAGTTGTACTATAATCGATTATTTTAAGAAATAAACTTATTTTTTTGATAAACCGCGTCTCACAAGCATACTATCCAAAAATTAGACTTTTCAAATGATTAAAACTACGTGTGAATGGCCAAAACATAGCGCTAATGGAGATTTGTGAAAAATAGTAGAGAAAATTCTAATAAATCTAACAAAGTAGAGAAAACTCTAACAAATCTAACAGAAATCCCAAAACCCACGGATTATATTGCTTCAAAATATAGGCTCTTCCAAAACCGCCATGACCAATCAATTGAATCATGAAGAAAATAATGATATTCAAGTCGACCGATTTGAGGTAAAAATATTCGAATTTGATTGCACTTCGTTGAAAGAATAAGTTCTATAATGGCAAGAAATTCTTCCTGTGGCGTTATCGTTGCGCAATAAAAACGCCGTTGAGCCTTAAACAAGACTCCGATAAAAGATAATGTTGGGTTGAAAGTGATTGTGAAAGTGAAAGAGATGAAAGTGAAAGTGAAAGATGGTACTTTGAAAGTACTTTGGTTTGCACCAATAACAGCAGACATTTTTTTTCGCAGCCCTTTCAAATGCAAATTAGGCAAACGACTAAAGCGGAGCACTCAGTGGAGCTGAGTAATAGGTGACAACTTGATTGTTATTAATAGGTTGATGCATAAGTCTTTTCGTTTTTTTCGTACTTCTGTTAAAAAGTAACAAATTCACCAATTAATCTATAGTTTACTCTATAAAAAAAGTGTTTTTTTGTTCAATTTCCATCTTTTTAAATCAATTTCGGTTCACTTTCAAGCAAATTCGAGAGTGAAAAACGCCTTTTTCGTAAAAATCTATAAAAAACTCCACGGAAAAATTGGCTGAATGAATTTCTCTGAAATTTTGGCGAAATATCAAACGTTTTTTTTCTCTATCTTTTATCTATTGACACGAAGATAGGTTTGCTTTAGCTAAGGTGTCTAAACCGCATCATCGAGTTAGCCCTTTTTGACTACCCGACTTCATACTCTCAAGAAAATCCAGGCATAAAATATTTTTAAACCCGTTTTAATGTTATTTTGCAGAAAAATAATTGGTTTTTCTAATGAAATCAACCGTAGTTTAATTGGTGCATTTGTTGGCTTGAAACGGCAGACGAAAAGGAACGAAAAGACTTATGCATCAACCTAATAAATGCAACAAAACGTAACAAAGTAATCAACACTCATTAACCACAAATCAACGTAATGAATGATAAAATAACACTGAATGGAATAATAGGGTTAAAAGTGCGAAAAACATTAACCCTTTCCTTTAATATTTACTTTTATCTCGACCAAAGGGTGCATCTTGGAGCAAACGACGGCGTCGGTGTCGAGTCGGGTGGCAGTCGGGTGGCAGTCGCATCAAGACTCAAATGCTAAATAAAAAAATAATGGATTGAAAAATTAAAAGTATACATATCCGTTCAATTTTTTACGGATGCAGGCCGAAGTCATTCCAAAATTTTAAAGATTAATTTGTAGCAACAAGAAGTAAATGTAACAAAACGTAACAAAGTAATCAACATTCATTGGCAACAAATTAACGTAACGAATGATAAAATAATCCTAAATGGAATAACAGGGGTATAAAGGCCAAAAACATTAACCCTTGCCTTCATCTCGACCAAAGGGTGCATGTTCGGGCAAACAAAGACGTCAGTGTCGACCGGTCGAGACCGTCCATTCCATTGGACCTCCCTTCATGCATCGGAATCTAAAGTTCAAAAGTTCAAGTTATTTTAGTTAAAGCTTACCTGATCAAACCGCTATATTGGGAATGAGCCCGCCATTCACTGGGCATCCTGTGAACCTCGACGTGGAACCCGACAAAGGAACAAGAAAAACCGCCTTCGCCGGAGGTTTTGATTCGATACAAGTTACACAAAAACACAGTAAACAGGCACAGGCACACCTCACGGAAGATCCGCTTCCACAAAAAGTCATCAAAGAATTCTTAAACACACAAAAAATTCTCAATGAAGTTTTGGTTCCTTCTGCGATGCTGTCGCTGGGGTAGTAAGAACAGTAAACGAAGCAAAAAGAACTTAAAGAAGAATTAAAAGAACTATTTCTCAAAAGTTTAACAAATTCAAGCCTCCTGCCAATACCAACGATAGAACATGAGAAAGATATGCCAACGAGAATCAGCAATGAGTGCCTATTTCATTCGTGCGAGATGTAGATAGCTCTGGTTGAGATTCTCAAGATTTTGATCGAAGTCTTGGCAAAAGCATCGTAGTAGAAGTGAAACGCCACGGCAGAACGATAATAATACCACCAGACGACTTCTTCGCAGTCATTCAGCTGATTTGAAATGAAATTTTCAAAAAGCTCACTCAACATTTTTTCTTTCAACAAATCAATGTCCAGCTGAATCCACGCGATTTCTTCAATCATCGAGCTAAAATTGTCAAAAAATTTCAGCACACTCTCCTTTGTGCGCAATATGAGCTCCAAATTTCTCACAGAGTTCAATTGATTCAGAATCGTCGCGTCTTCGTTGCCGAGTCGTCCGCGGTCCTCACTTGTTGCAAAGCTGATCTCCAAGCTGTCACACGATTGGATTCGTTCGCTTAGCGCAAGATGCCCCGCATAAATTTGGTCAAAGACGGAGAACTTCCGGATTCTAATCTTCTCGTCCCCCCATTCCTTCATTTCAATCTCGTCCACGTGGTGGTTGAGAACGAGAGACGGATTGTGTGAAAGCATCCATTGAAATCCCGCATTCACTTCGACCAACTCAATGGGTACCTTTCGCATCCATTTCCTCCAGCACTTCCAACTTCAGATCGTAACAGAGCTTCTCCATAGGAAACGACGTCAGATTCCTCATTTCAAATGGCATCTTGAGCGCCATTCTTGCACCTGTAAAAGAAAACAATTGGTTCTTGTCCACAAATGAAAGAGAAAACATAAAAAGCAATCAATTTTTGGTGACAAAATAGTTTTCTAATGTTCTTGGGGTCAAACGTCAAATTTGGCTTTTCATAAGCCATTTCCAAATTTCCTAAATATCAGAGCAATTAGCAATTTGCCTAAGGAGAAGGGGAACCATAAGCAAAACATCCGAAACATCCGAAATAATATGGTCCTGGAACCAAATCACTGCTCGAAAATGCCTCAAGTATTAACTTTATTATTAGAATTAACAAGGAAACATTAAAAACGTTACCGAATACCGTAAAACACTCGTAATCACATTGACGCCCAAGAAAAAACGGAACAGGTAACAAGCTAGCAATAAGTTCATACAAATCTTCATTCTTTCCGTTTCTCGCTTTCGCTTTTGTACGCACTTTTCTACAGGCATTCTCGAATCTGAAACTTTACAATTTCTGCAAGTCTTCATTAACCATTGAAGTGAAAAAGTCTTTTCCATTTTCGATGACGTTTTACGGAAAGCAGCTGACTACAACCACGGATAAAACTTTCTTTTGGGCATCTGTTCAATGCTTAAACTTCGGATTGAACTCTTTAGAATAACAGTAGAAGTTGGCAACGAAGGAGTATCAATTTTTTACGCTACTGAAAAAACGGTAAGGTTATTGCTAAGGCTTGATAAACGAATAGCTAGTGATAATGATAAGGTAAAAATCAGGTAAATGTTCGTTAGAATTTAAATTCCTAACCATTACTCGTTTAGCAAACGTAGCTAGAAGCACTAACTCGTGAAATTTAGCTGAAAACCGTTAAAAGCCCCACCATCACTTCAACATCCTCGATCAGGGACGTCGATTCGCTCAGGTTCTCCCCATTATCGCAACCGATTCATGGCTTGCTTTTGATCCTTTCGACTCACACTTTCCACAGCAACTCGTCGAGCATATCATTTCTTTCCTAAAGAGAAGAATTAAAGATGTAGATTGAAAAGCTTAAAAGTGCGATAAGACTCACCTTTGCAGCTTGACAAATGGGTGGTGGAAGAATAGAGATTCTCACCACTAGAATCACCGTCACAACCGATTTTGGCAATGCGGAAATGTGGCGAAAACGGAGTGAGACAAATCCGAAATCGTAGATGCAAATGCAGCATCCTAGCATCAATGCAACATTCAGTGCACAGCATTTAAAACGAGGCATTTAAAAGAACTTTTCTCAAAAGTTTACAAAACCAAAGTAACATGAATCGGATATTATGTAGATTAAATCCCTGACCGACTTGATTCGTGTAGCGGAAATATTGAAGTTTCCACAATAAAATATTCAAAAAAGATATCGTCATGTGTCTTTAACACAACAAATCATCGTTCAAAAACAGAAATTGGACAACTTTATTTCTTAGACAACTAAAAATCGGCAAAATCAGACAATAAAAGCACTAAAATGGTAAAACACTCGACAAAAACCTTCAAAACACGATCATTTCCTATTGTCGTTCAATGTAGAAGGCGAAAAATCGATCGAATGTTTGATGGGGAAGCATGTAGACACAATCTCTGCTCGAGTCAATGTTTCGTCGAAAAAATGGACCGTCCAACAACCAGCCGGATCTGCCGCTAAGCTTCTCCACGAGTTCGGTGGCTATTTTGGTGACTTCCTTTGGCTGATTTTCTAGGTCGATTCGCTTCATTCCACGGCATTGCGTAAGAAAATCGACGATTCGGCTCTTCATCTCCTGAGAAACATAAGCT